CAGCCTTCACCCACAGGCATTCAGGCAGTTATATCACATAAGCAGTTAGCCTCATGGCAAGCATGCTATCATGGCAGTCACTCATATACATGCAAGGATGCTAAAGTATAAAAGCTTACCTAGTACTCCGAGCCAAAACAAAAGCTAGTTAGTAATCAAATGTATGATCCTAGCTCATGTTAAGATGGCTAATGCAACGCATGCAAAATGCAACTAGAAATAGGCTCGGCTATTCTAAGATGGCATATGAAATGCAACAGATAGCATGTATTCAACTTTGAAATGGAAAATGCAATGCAGTTAGTATGATGCGCCGAGGGCGGTGCATGCAATATAGATAAATGATGCAAACATGCGAGCATAAGGATGCTAATTGAAATATGCCCTAGTACTAACCATCAAAAGTAGGCAAGTAAAAGGGAGAAAGAAGTGGAAGTTGGAAGACATGCATCACACACACACACGTTTATTACATAATTCGCTCTCTCTCGGAGGGACCGAAAGAATAATACAAATTAATTAACTAACAAGCTAATTAAATATTGCACAACACTTAACTAATTAAACAAATTAACTAAGCTACTAAAGTAGTAAAGAGGCCTCGGGAAGAGGGACAAATGCATGCATGCTCGGTTTCTCTCGGAAATCCATCACCATACTCATGTTGCCTCTGTTTACACTGCTCTGCACCTCTGAGGACTGCAAAAGTCTCAAGGATGCTTCTGGATCACCTTCTGGGTGCTGTGAGATGCCACCGGCCAAGATATGAAGTCACCGGCCACGAGAAAATGGTCATCGACCATTGGTAAGGCTCTCGACCAACAATCATTAGCCGATTGGCACTGCGGATAGCTGATCGGCCATCTTTTCCTGCAGAATGCTGTTTTTGCTACAGTAGAGGGCAAAAAGAGCATGCCAATGCATTTTCAAGGAAATGTTTGCACAACCACCCTCCTCATCATGTTTGAGACTCAAAGGAGTATGGTTCTCGACCCTCGGGCCATCAATCACGCATTCCAATGCATGATGACCCAAGGTGCCAAATGTGCATTTTGATGTCAAATGAAATGCACACAAATACATAGAAAAGCGCCAACCACTATCATGATTTATCAAGAGGCAAGGGATGCAAACATGCACAATGCTATGCACCCTAAACATGCAAGCAAACCAATGCAACATGAGCATGTGAACAAACATGCAAACATGCAAGCACGTAACAACATATCAAACATATGGCAAAATGCAAGCTAACGAGGATGCAAAATGAAACATAAGCATGCAATAACATGCAATGAGCCAAGTACGCAACAACATACAAGGCGAGCATGCAACAACATACAAAGGATGGACTTACACCAAGATGGACAACTCTCTAATAGGTCCAAAACAGTGGCCAAAGTGAAGAATTGGAGGCATGAAAATGCAAAACAATCATGCACATGAGCAAGATGCGATAAATATGAGAATATGGCAATGCATTAAGCTCTGAAAATATGTGAGGAATGATGCCAAATCAACCAAGTAAAGCAAGCAAAGCAGGTAAGAAGGTCCAAGGCCTAAGGCTAATCAAGAGGCTCAAACCATGGCCATACAAGGCAAGTCCCAAAGGGTGAAAGGGACTCAAAACAGCCCTAACGCAGGTCGAGACAAGGCCAAAAACACACTTAGATGGCATCCAAATGGCCTAAGAATGGAAGCATACGCAATGATCCGTTCAAGAAGCATAAGACCACAACTCTTTAAGGCATTAAAGGAGTGATAAGTGTAAGTTTATAAGCATGGAATATGGACTGAAATAACATTACAAGTGATGCCAAACCACTGAAACGATCAAAATAGGGCATGCTAGCAACTTGGACACTTAAAGCTAACAAGCTAGATTGCATGGTGGCTATACAAAACAATGCAAGCATGACCAAAACAATGAAAAACAGAGCTTAAGCATGCAACAACAAGGCTAAAAGTTTCATGGAGTTAAGCCAAAATCATGCTAAAAACACATGTTACAACATGATGCATGTTAAGGCCAAATCATGGGATTACAAGACAATTGTATGAAGCATACATGGCATGTCTAAACCAACTCAAAACAGAGGTGTATCATGGCAGAACAAAGCCTAATACATACTGAAATGAAGCTAAAACAAGTTAAACACACATGCTACCACATAAGCCATTTATGCAAGCATTAAAGACAACAAGGAGAGTGGATGACCCTCTCCTATTTAGGACCTCGAAACCACCTCTCCACCACTGAAAATCCTCTGCATTTCAGTGGTAGAGAGGTCATGCACAGACCAAAACAATGGCCAAATGGTATGGGCTAAAACAAGACCTAACAAGGCCTTGGAGGGGGGAAGACAACCCCAAACCTCAAAGTGACTTTAAACAAAGTTCTAAAGCACACAAAATCAGAACTTTTATCAGTTATAGTCGAAGCTTAAAACAATAAGCAAGAATGGCTAAAAGCCTAAGCTAAAATGGGATAACTAAAGTAAGGAACTCACCCTTGTAGAACCTCTTCAAGAACACCACTCCAGCAGGTTTCTCTGATCAAAATCAATTCAAGAACCCTAACAACAACCCTCTAATGCCTCAACAACCCAAGGGTGCTGTAATGCTAGGTGTTCAAGTGCAAAAGTAAGACAAAAACTCACTTTTGAGGCACAAAATAGGATCAAACAAGGGCGTATAGATATAAAACTATATCTCACTCTCTAACCCTAATTTTCTGAACCCTGGAGGAGGGAGGAGGGGCTCCCTCTTTATAGAGGCTCAAATCCTCAAGCTTCCAAGAGAAGCTAAGCAAGAGGCAAATCCCTCCATACACGTGTATGAAGGGAGTGAATAATGGGTGCCAGCTGTGCCAGCTGGCACAAAATATCTGCATAAAGCAGATGAACAGGGTTCGGCCAGCAAAAATGGCCGATCAACCAACACAATGGCTGGTCGACCAAATATAGTGCCGATCGGCTAAGACTCTTGGCTGGTGGCAAGAAAAAGAGGCCGATGGCCTCATGCCATGGCCGGTGGGTTTAGGGGATGGAAAACAAGCCACCCTCTTCCCTTAGAAGCAAAAAACACAGGTGTTTGGTCCAAGACCAGGCACAAAACAGACACGTTGAGAGATCTTGAGGCAAGGCGCGTAGCCGAGACCTCCAAGAACTCAAAACAAACACGAACATGGATGATCATCGAGTGTTCAAACGATGACGTTCAAGTCTTGAGGACGGTCAAAAATGGGGTGTCTACAGTTGCCCCTCTTTGACAGAACTCGAAAGTCATAACAATGACGAGAATGAATGTCAAAGCCCAGAGACGACCCATTTTTGATAAGGCCGAAGACTTAGACAAGCATGCAAGATAGCAAGATATGTGCCCGAAGGCAGGGGCAAAATGCAAAAACAATGCACAAAGCCGAATATAACTTTTGATCATGCAAACAACGTTGTAACGAAGCATAACATGCAACAGTTTTAAGCAAGCCAAAAACCAAACTACATTACAATGCAGAAAGGATATAAGAGAATTATATAATTCTCGCTGCGTCTCACGTGGAGAATACAATACCTGTCTGGTTCGTCTAGTCGCGCCAGCTTCAAATGAACCGTACATACAATATCGTTCCTGCAAAAGGAAAAAACTTGACAGGTACAACATTGTTAGAAACATGCATAGCAATGCAAGTGAAAATTGCATGACAACGCAAGTGAGGGGGTGCATGACAATGCGGGTGGAAGGGGTGCATAACAATGCAACCCAAGTGTGTGCATAATAATGCGATTTGAAACAGGCATAACAATGCAAGGAGGGCACGCGCGGCAATATGAGCCGAGTGGTGCATAACAATGCAATTTGAAACATAAACATATGTAAGTAAAGCATACGTGACAACGTATAGCAATGTGTATAATGATACGAAACTTGAACACATATAAGTAAAGCACATGCGACAACGTGTACAATGTGTATAATAATGCGAAAAGGGAGAAAGGTGTATAAACACATGTAAGTAAAGCATACGCGAAAATGCATGCAATGTGTGTAACAATGCAAAGAAGGTGCATAAACACATGTAAGTAAAGCATACGCGAAAATGCATGTAATGTGTGTAACAATGCAAAGAAGGTGCATAAACACATGTAAGTAAAGCATACGCGAAAATGCATGCAATGTGTGTAACAATGCAAAGAATGTGCATAAACACATGTAAGTAAAGCATACGCGAAAACGCATGCAATGTGTGTAACAATGCAAAGAAGGTGCATAAACACATGTAAGTAAAGCATACGCGAAAACGTATGCAATGTGTGTAACAATGCAAGAGGGGTGCATAAACACATATAAGTAAAGCATACGCGAAAACGTATGCAATGTGTGTAACAATGCAAAAGGGGGAGAAGGGGGTTAGTAAGGGTTAGTAAGGGTTAATTACGTCCACATGCAGCACGCTAGTGGAGAAAAGTTAGAGTTACGTCCACACGCGGCACACTAGTGGAGAAAAGTTAGATACGTCCACACGCGGCACGCGA